CTCCCCCTGGTTTCCCATTATTTTTTATTTTCCTTTGTATTTCATATTCTGATAAATGAAATAAAATGTATATACAAATTACAAATGCAAACACAACACTTAAATATGCTCTCTGTGTGACAAAAGGCTAATTCTTTCACATCAGAGTGGCCTAAAGATATATACACACAACAGTATACATTTCTAATCAGGCAGCATTTTCAAAGAGGCCAACCTGTGAAATTATACTCATAGCTATTACTTACACAAGCAGTAAATGGAACTAAATGGAAAGCCAGAAAGATATGATGCTCAGAGTTAAGGGGATTAAACAGTTAGCAGTTACTGAATATTTAAATTGTATCACTGCCTTCAGGGCAGGGAACAGAAGATCTAATTTTTCACATGAAGAACAACATTATTGTACCACTTTTTAAAGAAGAGTGGTGAAAAATCCGGTTCCTGTTTGTAAAAAGGCAAAATAATATTTTTTACAATACTTCTTTTAAATATATCCCCCATCCCACCACTTTAAGTTCTAGTACTGTGATTCTAAGGAGTTTAATTGAAGAGATTTGGCAGGGTTTGTTTACATTTAACAAAGACATCCTTTGATTCAAGAGTTCATTAGTCAGTGGAATTAAAAAAAGTACCAAGAGACAAAAAACAAAAGACTTATTCAGTTTTCTTCTCCTGAGATGTCATAATCTATCATGAACAAGACTTGAATTTCTAGTGTGTATAATAAACCCCAAACCCCCACTTTCGACAACAGAAATCAAACGAATGAGTCTATTTTTTTTATTTTGAAAAAAGTTACCTTTGTGGTTACTATTATTTTGTCTTCCAATTTATACACAATGTTCAAGATTGTTTAGGAAATAAGTAATAAGATAAGTAATAAGAAATAAAATTGTAGCAAACAACATAATGTTTAATGTAATGATACTGTAGGACTACCAGATCTGAGTTGCAAAGAAGCCAAAAGACTAACTGAGGGCAAGAAAAAGATACAGAAATCTTTCTGCACCCATCTGATAGTTTTCTAGATTTTTGCAGTTTGGTTCTGATGGCATGAATGGATTACATCTTTTTTTTTTTTAATAAAGCACCTCAAACACTGAGTAAAGTATTAGGTAATGTTGGAATTGCAGAATAAATTAACTGGATGCGTGACAGTAACTCAGATCGATATTCTAAGTAAATGGTGTCATCAAATGATATTGAATTCAAAATTAAAAAGAGGAACAAGCGCGCTTCACCTTTTCAAAGAGCAATAAAATAGTGAGTTTGTCATTCACTAGTCAAGAAACCTTCAGTTATTCTTAATTGATTTATACCTACAGAACATCTATTGTCACTTTTAGGCTTTTTCACTCAACATGTAATGTGTCAAAATGCCGTAGTTACCAATTTGAAAAGATTCATAATTATACAAAGACTGTGGGTGTTTATTGGCGCCAGTCTGTAGAAGGAGGTCTTCTCAGTGATCTTTCCAACAAACAAGCCAGCCAAGAAACCATTCATGTGAAAAAAAGACGATGAGAAGAAATATAACATATTTCTCAAACATTGTAAAAAGGACTGTTTACTCCTAAAGGTTTGCAAGGTTTTTTTTTAAGCAAACACAAAAAGATATGTGATTTCAGCTAATTTATTCAATGCTTAAAATTTTGTTTTTCATTAGTAACTTCAACAAAGTATGTCCACAAAAACTGGCCCCTTAGATGCAGTCTATGACATTTACTCCCACTAAACAAACTTTCAACCCTCTCCAATAAAAAACAAAATACATTGCAGTGGATAGAAACAACAGAAAAAACGCTATTCAGTTAAACAGCCCACTTAAGCATAAGTGGCACTCAGATCTTCTGATTCCAAGCACACAAACTAACTTTTCAGCAGGGATAAGAGCCAAGTTGTAAATTCTCTTGCTTATCAAACACAAACATGGTTGTTTTAAAAACAAATGATTTGCATTTTCCCCATATGTCTCTGCTGAGTTAGCAGACTCCTCTGTCCCAGAAAAACACAAAACCATAACATTCTTGCTATGCAGGTGATGATGATTCAATTATATAACCATCTACTCTGGAATTAGTTTTTCTTTTCTATAAGATGAGCATCTTTAGGCAATTAATTCATGATCCATGGGCCATTTTTACATTACCCACTTCGTGTATTCATTTAAACTTTGCCCCTTGTTTACTTCTCTAGTACATTTGTACATTTTTTAAATACATCTAACCCATACCTTCTGCTCTCCAGAATGTTCAACGTAGGCCAAATGAATAGTTAAAATGGTCATATTTTTCTAACATGTTTTTTCTAATTTGAAAATATAGAAATGTGGTTGCTACTTTTAATACAGGTTTGCTTACAATCACAACTGAGCCCAAAATTTCTATTGCTAAATGCGATATTTAAGTGAGTTTTGCCTCATTTTATGACCTTTCATGCCACAGTTATTAAGTGAATCACTGCAGTTGTTAAGTTAGCAATATAGCTGTTAAGCAAAGTGAGTGAGGAAGCCCGATTCACTTAAGATGATTGATTGCCTGACCCCAGGACACTATAACTGTCATAAATATTAATCAGTTGCCAGGCATCTCAATTTTGATTACATGACCATGGGGATGCTGCAATGGTCATGAGTGTCAAAAACGGCCCCAAATCCCTTTTTTCAGTACTGTTGTAACTTCAAACGGTCACTAAATGAACTGTTGTAAGTTTAGGACTACCCTGTACTGTCTAGTCTAGATTGCCAATTGCTTTGGTTTCTCTTCAGCCTTGTAGTCCCAGAATGAACTGCATGGACAAGAGAGAGACATACCTAGTCCCCTCCATTGGCCAAAAAAAGGAATACCAGAAGAAGAAGAGATATAGGGAAGAATGGAAGCCAAAGTGTAGACTAGGAACCAAAAAAGGGGGGATGAGCCAAATCCACCATTACAGTTTCAGCTTTTGTTTGTTTAATTACTGCAAAAAGGACCATGAAAATACTTTTTAAGAGCTAATATGGCTAATCTATTATAAATGACCCACTGCTTACTGAAAGATTGCAATCTTACTGCAAATCATCTCAGGTTCAATCAGTCACTGCTATTCAAATAGAAGCTGTCCTTGAAATCTCAGATACTAGAAGACACTTATCAGCCAATGCAGGCCATCTTTTTCCTGCCCCTCAGGGTAGTCTGTTGTGTGAGACTAAAGCAAGCAGGGGCTGGATCCAGAGCCAAAATTAGCTGTAGATGCTCTTTTTCTCCAATACCCCTTTTTTCTCTATGTACTCTCCATTCCACACTGCAGGCTGCAGAAAAGGTCACTACTCTTAACAGAGGCCTGAATCAATTTTCTGTATTTGGCTTTAAGATTAGTTCAAAGGCTGCATGAAAATTAGTTTTGTGGCCTCAGGTTAGCTAACAGTAATTTAGTGAGTGGATCAGTTGCTGGACTTAGCAAACAATACCTTTGTTTGCTAAACAGAGACAAAATGGGTAGTCAACAGTATGATACAAAAGATTAATTACACTATTTTTAGACCTCCAGAAGGTAGTGCCTGCAGGGACTCCAGGTAAGAAACACCAGCAAGGAGGAGTCCTACATCTATAAGCTGTAGTAGAGAACAGAAACTGAACATTGATTCACATTTCTTCCAACTTTCTTCACTTCTCTGGAAAAGGAAAGTGTTAGTACTATTGAAACAACATGCCATTTGCTCAACTTAATATTTGCCATTCTCTGGTCATAACCATGACCACAACTACTCCACAGATCATTCTATATCTTTCATAATCTTATGTATCTTTTATTATGTGGGCCTTTCAAGAACAGGCCACATGATTGGAACCATCAAATGTAAATCATTAGCAATGCAAACAAGTAAATAATTAAAAATGGAACTTCTCAAATCAAGACTGATTTCTAGTGATTGAATACATAGGGTTTTTTTTAAACAGAATTATGGAAGTGTTTGTCAATAATTTCTTCCAGGATTTCCTCACTTCTCAGTCTAGCCTACAGTCCCTTCCTTTGAAGGGTGGGATATTATAAAACTACACTTAGAGAACAAACCTGTTATTTAATTTTGTCTCATTTTTCAATAACAAAGCATAATGCTAAAATAGATAGCTTACTACCCTTTTGCTTTTTTTTTTTTTAGGGGAGATACTTGAGTATCTTCCAGGTATTAGTGAAAACACTTCCCAACTAATTCTTTTAAATGCCACGTTTAGCCACATAAATCAGATGAGAGAACACATGAGCATGACAGCTGGTGTTACAGCAATATCTTTCAAGTGGTTTTTACAACAGCAAAAATTCCCCACTGAAAAGAACACAGTTTAGTTATCTGATTACCAAGAGGATCAATAACTGCTCTTTAATTGCAAGTTTTTTAAAAACAACAACCAGGTGTTTCCTAAGGAATGGGGACCATAGCACCTATCAAACACATTAATATTACTGGAAACAAGAAATCATTCCAAAATTCTGTTTGGTAGCATAACTATGCACCAAAGAACGTAATACCAGCTAAATAAGAAACCATACATTTATTCAAGTAATACAGTGGAGTTCTAATTTAAAAGAAAAACTTCCTTCCATGGGGCTTTTTTTATCTGGCAGGGAGAATATGGTGGAAATGAAAGGAATGTTAAGGGTCAACAGCAAAGGATACAGACTTAAATATACCTCTTGCTTTTATAGTAAGAAATCAGCACTACCTCAGTTCTACTTATAAGGATGGCCAGGAGAATACAATGTTATTCGGCACTTATTTTCTATTGGGATCGTCAGTTATTTGACTAGTTAAAATAGATTAGTTTATAAGTAGGAATCGCTGAAGCCAGGACTTGAGGTAGGAAGGAAAACGTGAGCAACACCATTCCGCCCCTCCCTCCTTTCCGAACAAGAGCCCTCAAAATTACGAATCTATCAGGATTATAGATCTAGTTCAGCGGACCTCGTAGGGCGCGACTTCAACGGCGTCGACAAGAAAAACGAGCGTAACTTTCTCTCACCTGCTAGGCTTCCGGGTCTCTGCAAAGTGGCCGTGGCATATAGTTCCTGGGAGTGTTTGCCGTACTGCTCGGAAGGGTGGACCAACCTCTTGGTGGGCGAGAGAGTCGCGTAGGTGCCGATCGTGGAGCTCAGCTGATGAATGGGAGAGGAGATGTTGGACTGGATGGTGGGAGGGGAAGTGACCCGGATCGGGGAAGGCGAGAGCCCCGCCGAGGAGACGACGATGTTGATGGGCGAGCTGGTGCTGTAGGACTTGGCGAGGCGACTGGGCGACTGCTTGGGAGAGGAAACCCGCTGTGTGGTGCCGTAGCCGCCGCCGCTCTCGGAGGCGGAGCCCGCCCGCTGGAGCTTGGTAGGCGAGCCCACCTGCTGCATGGACAAGGGCGAGCTCACTCTCTGCGCCGGCAGCGTGGAGCTGGAGTAGTAGAGGGCCGGCGAATGGGGCTGCTGTGAGGAGGAGGAGGAGGAGTCTGGCAAGTGGAAAGCGCTGCCATGGCTGGGCGCGAAGGTCTCCCGGGGTAGCGGCTGCGACGGCGGTGGCGGCGGCTCCGAAGTGGCAAGGTGGGCAGTCCGGCCAGTAGTGCCCTGCGAAGGAGGGGGATGGGCGGGGAGAGCGAATAAGTAAACAGGCAGACAAGAGGCGGTCCACGGAGGAGGCAATTGGCCAGCCCACCCCCCCTGCCCCCCCTTCTAGAGATCCGGGAAAGGAATTAGACGCGCCCCACGGCAAATTTTTGAGTCTTTACCGCGGCTGGACCCACCAGCTTTGAAAATAAGCACTTAATACTGCGCAAATGCCCTTGGTGTAGGGTGAGGTGAGGCTCCTTGCTCTCTCCTTAAAGCGGGTCTCGAGCATCTTGCATAAATATTCTGGTTTGATGTTAAATAAAACTCGGTGAAAACCCCATCTTCGTCCTGTTTACCCGAAGGCCGTCGCTTATGGTGACTATGCTTACATCCTTAGCGTCCCTTAGCATCCCGTAATCGAAATAAGGTCGTCTAATGTTTAAAAGGTTCAGCGGTCAAGTTTTTTTCTCTCTAACCCGAAGGACGCTTGGAGAAATGGGCAAGAACACGACTTTCACGGCAAAGTTTATACTGTGAGTAATAATTGTATTTGTGCAAAACACCATAAGTGGCACAAAATGTAGTGTGTGCCTAAAGTAATTTTCTTCCTCAAGGGGGCCTTGAGAATAGTCTACTAGGATAGTCAAAGTATAATAGCCCTCATTGTAAATCTCACTTCTTAGGGTACTTTTTGGAGGGCCTTAGCTGATACACTGGCATTAAAATATTATAAGGAGTTTACTGCAGGTTGTGCAGCATCTGCCCTATATATATTGCCTACAGAAAGAATTACCAGTAATCCTTCAGTTCTGTTGTATGCATATAATGTCACTTTTACAGTTTTTCATGCATGTGTTAAGAAACAGAATGTCTGAAATGATCTAGCCTGGGGTTTGTCACTAACTGCAATAGAAATATTTATTATCCTAATTTACAGGAGTATAATAAACTCAGTTTTGTAAAGCGATAACATAAGGTAGTAAAAGAAATTATTTGTACCCTCAAACAACTGAAGCTTTTTTCTTTGACTTACCAATTAAAAAAGCAAAGCAAATACTGATTTAAATGTCCCTTTTGAAAAAAATCAATAATTATTTCTATAATAGCATTTTCCCCAGTACGTAAGACAAGCAATAGGATGATTGGCACCTTGTTCTACTTTGAATTCTTGGATAGAATTAATTCTAGAGTATTAATCAGTGCATCACTAATTAATCTCAGTGTTTCTTGTGATATACCTAGGCAGAACCTCACCTTGAATACTATTCCCTACATTCTTGTTGGTGAAAACAGTTGCTGAAGTGCAAACCTTTGCATAGCAGAAACAAGATGGAGAATCTGACTTCTTAAGAACTTCTCCCTTAGCCTAGCATTAGAAAAAGCTGGCTAGCTCGCAGGTCAAAACTTATTTTATCTAATTGTTTAAGTGCCATTAGAAAAAAAAAATCACCCAAGATTTTTCCTACTGGTTTTCAATTTGATAAATATGCTTTTTAAATTTCTTTTCGAAATGCGGATTTCTGTCAAATCTTATGGAGTACAGTGACTTTGCACAATTGAGAGGTATATGTGATTATCATCTCTTTCTAGGTATAATGTTTACCCTTTCTCCCCATGCTCCAAATCCCAAAAGGCTATTTCAGATAGAAAATGATGGTAACAAGAGAGAGAAAGATGTTGTAACAGGAAACAACAAAACTTGCTGTGGTGGCACTTTCAAAAACTTACCAGGAGAATTTTTTAAAAAGCTGTTATGGACCCCAGGAATAAGATTTTGTTTTGTTTGTTGTTATTGCTAGTTTTAAATTGCTGTTCACTATCCAGAACTGTATATCAAGTGGACAGCCTTAGAATCAATAGATAGAGAAATCTCTTCTGGGAAGAAAACTGAGGAATTTCAAGTGAGTATCTATTTGTCCATTCTTCATCCATTCATGCACAGATACAAGGAGAAACTGGATGCAGTCATATTAAGAAGCAAAAGAGAGTCAGCTAAATTGTTTTCTTTCTTTTTAAAGGAGGGTGGGGATTGTGAAATGTATCCACAGAAATATTATATACTGCTATATCAGTATATCAGCTTATATCATACAATATATATGGATGACCTTGTTTACAGTAGATAAGGTTAGCAAGGGTTAAAACATTTGTCTTCTACCTGATATTCTCCAATGTGTCGTGAGTTCCATTCTCAGCCAATAGTTATTGGCTGGAGATTTGGGGAATGAAAATCATATAATACAACTGGATGAGACCAGATTTAGAAAATGAGTTAAGTGTAGTAAGATTAGCTCACACTTAAGTTTAGAAAATGGTGTGTTTTAACACTAATTGGAGCAAGCAACGTGTATCATATAAATTACCGTTATCTGGATGGATGGCATTAGTAACAGGATGCTAGACTACAAATATTTTTTTCTGATTCTTGGTAATGTTTTGTCATTTTCATTGCTGTTACCCAAATATATGACTTCAGTTTGATTTCTAAGATTGAGCAGAATCACTGAGATTGCATTCATACATTTTAAAAATAAAAAAAAAAACATCTGTGAAACTTTCAATGTACAAAACCACTCTGAGAAAGCTAAGAATACAAGGCAGCGGGAACTGGTGTGGGCATCCTCTTTGACATTTGCAAGGGACATAATTATTTTTATAAAGTAGTACAGGGGTGTCAAACTCAATTTCATTGAGAGCCACATCAGCATTGCGGTTGTCCTCGGGCCGGGTAGGTATGGCCAGGGTGGGTGTGGCCTACTGGGTGGGCATGGCTGGAATGGGCGTGGCCTACTGGGTGGGCATGGCCAGCTCTACATCGTTCGCATCAAGGGGGCCTGGGCAGGAGTGGGACAGATCTGAGGGTCTCTGGCAGAAGGGGGTGGGACCAGGGCAAGCGCCAAGGCATGGTCTACTGGGCCTCACTGTTCCTCTCAGGCCATGCGAGGGGGGGGGCTGGATGGTGCTGTGGGCTTCTCGGAGCCCTGGATATCAGAGGTCAAATGCCCAGCCTGGCCCTCGAGCACCCGCGGCACCAAGCTCAGCCCCACTTCCCCAAGGGGGCGCACAGCTGAACTTACCTCCTCCTCAAGGCTGCTGCTGCTGTGCTTGCTCTCCTTAGCCAGGGTACTCATGATGGGTATGAGGGCAAAGTCAGAGGGAGGCCCACTCCCTCTCCATGGGAGGAGACCTGGCTTTGTATCGAAAGCTTCCTTAGCAATAGGATGGAGACCCCCAGGATAGGCCAGGAGGAGGGGGCAAGGGGATGGTGAAAGGGCAGCAGGGCAGGACTAAGGCAGGACTTCCCTCAGACCCTCCCTCTCCTTCCTTCCTTCCTTCCTTCCTTCCTTCCTTCCTTCCTTCCTTCCTTCCTTCCTAAGAACAGTGGTGGGAAAATATTTGAGATGAGGAAGGGAGAAAAATAGGCAAGAAACGCAGCTGGGGAGGTGTCACCCTTCGTGAGGAATGAAGAAATGCACCATCTCCTGGAAGTGGCCAGCACATGACCCTTGCCTACTTCACATATCTGGCTTGGTGGGCTTTGGGAAGGGGACGCCATGAGCAATGTGAGAGTCGATGTTACCTGTGCAATGCCATCCAGCCCCCAGCCTGCCTGGTTTCAGCAGGCAGCGGGGTGCTCTCCTCACATGCTGAGAGGCTGAGCCGGGCAGTGTGAAGCTCGCCAGCTTCGCACCTTGCTGCCTGCTAAAATTGGGCAGGCTGGGGGCTGAGCAGCGGCACGCTTTTTTTTTGAATTTGCGCCGCCTGGTTCAGCCTCTCGGCGCTGTGAGGAGAGTGCCCCGCTGCCTGCCGAAATCGGGCAGGCTGGGGGCTGAGCGGCAGCACCCTTTTTGGATTCACGCTGCCTGGCTCAGCCTCTCGGCGCTGTGAGGACAGCACCCCACTGCCTGCTGAAACCCCTCTCCTGGAGCCCATCAAGCCGGATATGTGAAGTAGACGAGGCCATTTGCTGGCTACTTCCAGGCGATGGTGCATTTCTTCATTCCTCACAAAGGGTGACACCTCCCCAACGCACGCCCAGGGGGCAGGGCTGACGTGGCAGGGGCCGGTCCCTTGCTGTTTCCAGATGGCCTTGTGGAGCTAAGACTGAATGTGTTTCAGCATGGATGGCCACCACAAAATTGTACATTGGCTCTCGGGCGGCCTGGGCCGGGGCCAAGGTGGTAGGGGCTGTTCCCTCACTGTTTCCAGGATGGCTTCATGAGCCACATGAAACCACATCGTGGGCCGCATCCGGCCCCCGGGCCTTGTGTTTGACATGTCTGAAGTAGTAGCTGGGTTCAAGTCCAATTCCTAAAAATGTAGAGGGATTTTGTTTTAACTTGAAATAAGTGTTACAGTGAAAACTAAAGTGAATGAAGGAGAATTTTTTTTAAAAAAACCATTGGCTTTGAACACAACCGTCTAGTTCAGGGGTCCCCAACCCCCAGTTCATGGACCGGTACTGGGCCGCGGCATGCCTGCAACCAGTCTGTACAAACAAGCAAAGTCCCATTTGTGGGATGCAGGCAGCACACAAAACCATGCACTTTCCAGTCTGCAGAAAAACCTTTCTGCACAGAACTGATCCCTGGTGCCCAAAAGGTTGGGGACCTCTGATCTAGTTCTTCATCTCTGTGGAATGCATTCTCTTGTATTTTTTGTTTCACACAAATATATCAATATGGGTATGTGTCTGTGCATGCATGTGTGCTTACAGACATCTTTTGTATACAAGAATACTAGGCAACTATCCCTTCCAAACTGAAAAGTAGTTATTTTTTATTTACCAGGACTATAAGAAAGTGGGTGTTGAGATGTAGTTGTGGAAAATTATGAAATCAATTTTGGATCCAATTCAAATAGAAAATTTCAGTTTGAATAAAAACAATATTTTGTGAGACATATCTGCATGAGATTACAGGACTTTAGCAGTTATATATGGAATTTTCCTTAAATCTTGTAAAAGAGAAAAGAAGAAGGAAAATAAAGTTCTCAGCAGTTGTTTCCAGTTATAAATT